GAGACAAGTGGATGGCATACTGGTTACATCGTTTGACTTCTGTTTAGTCAAAACCAGGGTTTGTGTCTCGAACCTGGAGGCTTAAAACTCATGCCAGGCAGGTGTGTGTGTGTGTATGCCCAACATCCCAAAAGCAGAAGGCAGGAGGAGGAGAAGGGATTGTGGCATGACCATTTCTCCTGGGAGTGATTTATCACTTTCTGTCTCTCTGTTTTTCTGTTGAGTGCACATGCCCTATAGCAAAAATCACTCTTTAAAAAAACCTCTATGGTGGGGTCAGCAGGTAGCGTGATGGTTAGAGGCACTGGACTCCCACATGGCCAACCACAGTTTGAGTCCCAGACCTGCCGGCTTGCTTTCTCACTTTCTCTCTCTCTCTCTCACTCTGTCTCTCTCTGGTCAAATTGAAATAAACAAATGAATAAATAAATAAAGTTAAATAAGATAATTCAAAAAAACCTCCATGAGTGGTGTGGTGGTGAACGTGGACTCCCTCATGGCTGACCATGGTGTTTCTAACAGACCTGGAAGCTTAAAAATCACACAGACCTGTATGTAAGGGTGTTCAAAACCATAGGAGGAGAATAGAGAAGAAGTGTGGTCATACCCACTGGGGGTCATGTGTTAATTTCCCTATCACTTTCACTCTCTGATGAGTACATGTGTCCTAGAATAGAAAACTGGGGGAAAAAGAAGAAAAAGAAAAAGAAATACCTCCAAATACTCTGATGCTTGCAAATAGTGTTTACCTGCCAGTGATGAATAGGTTGGACTACATCTCCTGGATATCTCATTTCTATTTTCTGCAAAAGTGTCTTATAAAGAACTTGAGCCACCACATGCACAGCATGATAGATGAAAAAGCTGGAGTCAGACATGGTCATTATGTCCAAATCAGACTGTAGAAACTCTAAGGAAGAATTTGGTGGACACTTTCCAATTTTGCCACAGAATGATCCAGCAAGTGAGCATCGAAAAAACTGAGCCCAGAGTTTACTGAAGTAAAAATCTTCTGGGTATTGGGAAGGGGTCACTGTCTTGAGAAATTGTTTAAAGCCGGGAATTTTCCTTTTCTGGTTTGAAAATAACAGGCTTCCATGGAAAAAGTATGGCATCTTCTTAAAATTAGCAAAAATACGATTCCACTCTGGAGAGTAGAGATTTCTCATGATCCGTACCTTTCCCCAAATTAAATATAATTCTTTTACCCATCCCAGCTTCCAGACACTCCCTTCATCACCATGTACTATATACACATTTGCAGATGAAACTCTGATCCTCGTCATAAGAGTTAAGTCATGTGCAAAAAAGACACCTTTTGTGGGAGGCAGTTTTTCTGCAAAGGCCACACAGATAGCCTTTTCTATCATCTTTGCCTTTACATCCTGGAGGAACTGTTCCCCTTGCATATCATCAGATACATAGAGTGCTACCCATGTCCAGCCAAAATGTAGCAACAACCAGATGATTCCATGAGCCAGAGAGCTGTCTTTGGTCTCCATCTGATAAACTGAGGGAAATTTATCACTTAGGATGGGATCACAAGGACCATATGTGACCTGAATAAGAAAAGCAATAACCTAATTCTGGCTTCAGTGCAATTTTGGATTGTCCCACTTAAATGGGGAGGAGATAATACTTGAACTGTTAAGACAATAGATGGGGTATTGAGTGAAGAGAATGCATGTTGTGGAAATGACAATATTCTGTCATTATGAGCATCACAAGACAGTTTTACAGTTCCATTTCTTTTTTTTCATTTATAATAATAATATTTTATTATATTAATAAAATAAACATCACTCTAACTATAAGCAAACCACAGAATTCTTCTTTCACACTCAAATATTCCATATAGTTAAAAAATATTTAAATAAAGTAAGCTGAATATGCCATGATGTTGTTATCAGAAATATCTTATTTTAAAGATCAGTAAATGTAAACAATAGTATTTCAAAATGGCTTGGTCCCACCTAGGTATTAAGACATGTATATATGTTAAATGCAATTTCAGGAAGGAGCTGAAATTTTATTTTGCATCTCTTAAAGATGTATGGCTGAATGCTATTTTAAAAATCTAATTAAACTAAGATATATAATTATGTTCTCTAAAAAACTTTTTAACTCCTCCAAATGCATCAATTTAGCTTAAGTTTTACTTTGATGTCTTTGGTAGCTCAACATATTTAAAAAGAGGAAGAAGAATAAGTATGACAAAGAGATGAAAATTAGACTCTGTTTTAAGAACATCTGCTCAGTGAGGGCTAATTACCACACTGAGAAGTCTCTAACAGGAAAGAATCAGGGAGCAGCAGTTCCATTTCTTTTGATAAAGGACATGCGACTAATTCAAATAACAGTATCACTCCCAGACCAGAATATATGAGAAAAAGTATAAGTTTCAATACTTGTTTCAATATTTACAATGAGAACTGAGTGATGCATATATTTATAAAAATGGCACAACAAGATATTGGTGATTCTGCCATCCTGAGCTCATGTGACATGTGGATCAGAGACTTCCTTTCCTAGAAACAAAGGATTAAAATATAAACTCTGAAAAAAAATGTTGTATTGTTTTTTTTGATTCTGTGTTTTACCATCATAGCATAACCTATATTTTTTAAAAACACGAACACTTGGCCTGTCTAATATTTTAAATACATTTTTTCAGAACAGGATTCTCATAAGCTAAGTCTGTGTTTACCAGTAATATCTTCTGAAACTTTTATTAGATGGTTTCCCTGGGAGAATCTCTGAGGTGTAGAGTTGTTATGTGGAGAGTAACTGGAAGTGCTTTGAAGACATCCACCTGCATGGATGTGAGGAATGGGCAGAGGGAACTGGTAAACCTCAGCTACTATAACTGAGCCATACCCAATTTATAGGCTCTCCAGTGCTGGAATGTCCTTTCTTTTTCAATGACATAATGAATGGAATAGTTTTTATTTCTTTGTATCTAATTAACCTCTGAAGGCCCACTGATACTATTCTCTCCTGAGATAAGGTAGATCTCTATTTACTGCATACTATATAGAAGACATATTTAAGTTGGTCTTCAATATTCCCACCAGAGGGAGTTGAATATAATGGCCATGGACAGAAATTTCAATGAAATTTAAGAGATTCCACTTCTCTACTTATTTTTGTTAGAGGAAAAATTCAATCATGTATACTTGCACAAAGAGACAGAGGGAAAGTGAAAAATAACCCCTCATAAGTAACAGTCATGCCAATATCCCTTCTCCTAAACTTTTCCATTGTTAGGATTTGGGACCTACAAGCACACATGACAGTGAGTTCTTTAAACCACCTGGATTAAAATTTGAACCATGCAGTAAACCATGGCGAACTCAGCCTCATTAACCACCATGTTACCAAATGGCCCAACACTGCTTTTTTTCTTTCTCTTTCCTATTTGTACTTTAGCAATTTTATCACTTTAAAAATTCTTTGTGCCTTTTTCCCTCAGTTGTGTCCAAACAACCAAGAGAGATGTTGAAGGACTCCAGGATTATATAAATCCAGATTCTACATTTTCTCTGCTCACGTGTGAGAGGGTAGTATCAAGAGTTATACAACTCTCATTCCCAAACCTGACAACCCACTTATCTGTGGGATTTTGTAGAACTCCAAAAGGGTTCCAACTTGGGCTGAAAATGTTGGCATGTTTCCTGCAATGATAGCAACAGGTTGTTTCTGTATCTGGCAATTGTAGTTTGGCAGCATATGATTCCCACCAGAGAGCAAAAACAGAGCATTTTCTAAAGCTCTTCTGTCACTAGGAAATGCATCATAGAAATCATAACCCAAGGAAATGTTGGGTAGCAAATGGGGACTTTTATTGATCTCCTCAATGGCAAAGTAAAAGGCCAATACATATTGGTAGTTCTTCCATATGAACCTAAACAGAGGGGGCAGCATTAGAAAATTCAGTGAAGTCATGTGATTCAGAGCAAACTCTTCAGCCAAGCCACAAGACATACATATTTAGGACTAGGCTGCCATTCAGAGATTCCCCTGCACAGAAGCAGGGAGAGACAGAAACCGAGAGACAGATAGAGAAGGCTGGGGGTGTGGGGGAGGGGGGATCCCTATCGCTAGCTCGTTTGTTGGAGGCTGAATTATTAGTAGAAAATCTTCATTCCCTTAAAAATCTAGTTCACTGTAGCCATGTGGAAACTTCTCCTGAAGGCCCATGGCTTCTTCCAAAGCACTCGACTTTGAAATAAGGTGACAATATGGTTCAAGTCACAGACTTGATAACTTGCTTTCTCTATTTTTCTGTCTCTCTTGTTCTGGTGAGCACATGTGCCCTATAGTAAAATCAAAACAAAATAATAATAATAAAGTTAAATAAATACTTATTTTAAAAAATAGCATAGGGCTTGCCAACTTTTCAACCATTTAGCACATTTCAGGTATGTTTGATGACTTTTTTATAGTTTATACACTACTAAACCAACTGTATGAAAATAAGTGCTGTTACATTTGTTTTTGTTAAAAATTAAATATTTAATTCAGATCTTCTAGCTAATTATTGACTACATCAAGTCTTTTGAACAGTTTGTAAAAACATTTATCTCTGCAGTTAATTGGTCTTTATATTTGTTCACTGTTCACTTGGAAATTCTTAGGTTTTAATAAATATTAGCTAAAACTATATTTTAAATTTTTAAAAATAGCTCACTTTTATTTCTTTTAAAATTATTGTTATGTAATGTCTTTAATTCTTTCTCCATTCTCGGTGAAATTATTTTGGTATTCATTTCTTAAATTTCAACTTTAATTTAAACATTCATAATTTTCTTTTTTTTTTCTAAAAGGTTTTTGCCTTAGTGTGCACACGATTGCCAGAGAGAGAAAGAGACACACAATCAGAGGGAAAAGAGGATGGTCATGTAACAATCCCTTCTCCTTTATTCTGCACTTGGGATTATTGAACAGACAGGCACGCATGTATTTGGCATGTTTTTCAGGTCATTTTATTCAAACCTCATATGCCTTAACCTCCATGCTAAGTTAGGTGTTAGATCCCACTCTAGGTAGATAGAAGATGAGCTCTGCATAATGGCATTACTGTGGTATGGTAAAATTTCATCATGTCCCCATTTCAAGTCTCAGAGGCATTTATACCTCTCTTTTGCTGAGCTAAAATCAGGCTGAATCCAGTCACTGTCTGGAGTATGAACAGTGAGTTTTAATCTGCTGGATCTGCAACTCAATCCAGGACCATGTAGTATAGTACACCGGCTTAGCCACTATGCCACAGGTGGTCCTGATTGTTAAAATGTAATCACATGAAAGTTCTCCCGGTACTATGTGCACATTTGCATGTAATCCATGTTAGTCGATTTGTCCAGAATCTTTATTAAGTATAATGCTACCACTTAGTAATTTTCTATCCAGTTACTCCCACCTTTCTCTTTGGGTATAAATAACTACTTGTCCTTGTTAAATTCAGATTTGAATCTAATATTTCTGAACTAATTTAAAATCTCACAGTCACACTTCCCATATATATTTCAAGGCTTTAAAAGAAGCAGTCTTTATTCTGCTTTAAAATATATTGAGGGACCAGCAGTGGCATTGTGGGTAAGGTGCTTAATTTCCATATGAATGACAATGGTATAAGCCTCAGGTCTGGCAGCTTATGCTGCACATATGTGAATGCATGCTCAAAATCTTGAGAGAAAAATTTAGAAGTGATAGCAGTGTGATCATTCTTTCTGATTTATATATGGTAGTGGCCTTTAGAAATCCATGACTTTTCTACAAAGTATAATGCTACATTCCCCTAGTCAGCAGTGAGCACCCATATTCAGCACCTTGATGCTAACATTAACTTCATGTCAGGGGGTCAATGTCTCAATATGCATGTGGGTCTCAGTATGCAGGTCGTGGTGCTAAAAGGGCTGAGATCCCAACAATTTCACTCATTCTGAGCCTCCTGAAGACTGAATATGGGATAGTTATGATGTAATGGACAACAAATTCTATTAATTTCTCTCTTCCCTCTTGGAGATGGAGAAACTTTGAAAATAAGAAAAATAAAGATAATAAAAGGATATCAAGACAGAACACCTTGAGTTCAGAATTCTGCACATCTCTCTTTTTCTGTGATACTCGCTTATTCCCAAGTGGGATTAATCATACACACATGTATATATGCCAATTACATTATTACACAGTTATAAACACATTTTCACATACATATAACCAATAACTTACCAATTATTTAACACTTCTTGAATTGGCCTTATTAGAAAACTTCCTTTATGTACAGATTGTATTTCTGAGATATAAAAAGGGAAAAACCCACCCAGTATCAGGTCTCCATCCTTGTAGACACTTGGCTTCAGGTATCTAA